GCTCTTTGGGATCAGAGAGGAGAGAAAAAGGCCTATGGGGGTATCTTCCCTAGCCTAGTGTATTGCTGGTCTCAGTGTCCCCCATAGTCTCCTGCCCAGCACCACGCAGACAGGAAAGTGGCAGGGATAGCAAGCCCAACTAGATGAGGGAGGCAGGTAGGGCTGGCTGGCCCTCCCTCAAAGCCCCTTGTTGTAGTAGACCACTTCCACGCTGGGATTTTGCTCACGGATCTGAGCTCTCAGGTCCGGCTCCAGCCTGCTCACATGGACGGAGCTGCAACAGAAGAGCACAGCCCTCTCAGGCTAAGCGGCTGCCCTCCCTCTCCCCCATGGTCAACCTGAAAAGTGCTGGCCTCTGCCAGAAGGGCTAGCTCACTGTCCTTCCCTCCACCCCTTGGAATCAGGCCTCCTCTCTCAGAACAGGCTGAAGGCTCCTAGGGACAGTAGGTCCAGACAAGTGAAGACTTGACCAGAGCCCCCAGACACACTCAGGGCAACACTTACCTCCTCTGGGGGAACAGGGCACAGCACAGGGGGGTGGCAAATACCAGGCTGGGGAAGAAGATGGTTGGAAAGGCTTGTGAACCTTTGACCCAAAGATATTCCCTCCCTGCAGCTTACCCCGCCTCTGGAGACAGCCCCTAGGGGTGGAGATTGTGTAAAAGCAAAAGGGCCTCTTGGAAACATTGAACCCAATCCTGACATTTTGCTCTGACTGAGAAAGATAGTCTCTGAGGCAGGGACTGAAAGCCCCACAGGCAGTAAGTGGCAGAATCAGGAATCAAATGGGCATGAAACTCCTGGATGGTACCAAAAGGTGTATTTCCATGGTTTCTCTTGTATATGGAGACTATAACCCACTCAACTAGACTCCATGATCTTCAAGGACAAGGCTCACCCCTACCACACACAGCACAAGCTACAGGTGCCCAGGACACATACAAGCTGAATACATAAATGAATGACCTCTATAGACATCTTAAAAGCAACAAATACCCACACACTCCAACCATGGAAAAGGCACTCTTCCACCCTACCTAAGTCCCTGTAAACTTACCAGAAGCCCACCAGTCCCACCTGCAGGGGTGCTCCCAGCCAGGGGCGGCGCTGTTGGGAGATAGACAGTGGAATGGCATGTGTCCCCTGCTCCTCCAATCCCCACCCCATTTCACCCACCAGGCTCTATCCCATCAGCCCTGCCTTTGAGCCCTCAGATACATGGCCTTTGTCTTTCTCCCAAGCCCTAACAGGGCTGGGACCTCCAGGAGGTCCCCTACTCCACTCAGGGCTGTTTGCTGATCACGCTCTCTGCTGTCCTACCCATTCCTGCCTTCTGGAATAGGTTCCCCCAGCATTCCTCAGTCCTCTTTCTGTTCCTCACTTCCTCCCGGAACTGCTTTCTCTCTCTTTTTTTCAGTTTAGTTTGCTTTAGTTTAGTTTTCAGTGTGATTAGATTTCTTTTTCTTTTTTTAATTGTAATTTGGGTGAACAATTTACAGAGCAAATTTGCTTTCCATTCAATAGTTCATACACAAATTGTTTCGTGACATTGATTGTAATCCCAACAATGTAACAGCTCTCTTTCCACTTCCTCCGCGTGGTTATCGTTTCCCTGTGTCCTTTCTATGCATTCCTGCCCCCTGAGCTATCTCCCTGTACAAATGCTACACTTCTGATCACCGATGGTTGATTGTTCTAAGGAGTGTATCTACCTGGTACATAATTATTTACCTCATGTTGTTGTTGTTATGTGCCATCGAATTGGCCATGACTCATAGCGACCCCTCCTTGGGTTTCCAAGGCAGTATCACTATGGAAGTAGACTGCCCAACCTTCCTTCCGAGGAGTGGCTGGTGGGTTTGAACTGCCAGCCTTCTGGTTAGCAGTCAAGTGCCTTAGGCACTATGCTACCAGAGCTCTTATTTACCTCATAGGCCTGTCTATTGTTTGGTTGGAAGTTAAGCCATGGAGTAAGTTCAATTCCAGGCCCGAAGGTTGACGAGAGGCCATATTATCAGGGGTTTCACCAGTCTCTATTAAATCTGTAAGTCTGGTCTTTTTTTTTTTTTTTAATGAATTTGAGTTTTATTCTGCATTTTTCTCCCACTCCATCCAGAATCTCTAATTTTGATCCCTTTCTGAGTGGTTGGCAGTGGTAGCCAGGCACCATCTAGTTCTTCTGATCTCAGGGTCATGTACGGGAAATGGCATCTTCAGGAAGTCTCCTTTCCATTCACTTCCTCCAGTCTCCGTGACATGAATGTGACCCTTTCCAACATATCTCCTGCTCTGTACACCCTTTTCAATATGCTCCAGCCACAGGGACCATGATTCTTGTTTCTGAAATGTGCAAGCTTGCTCCTGCCTTGAGGCCTTTGCATTTGCTGTTCCTTCTGCCTAAAACACTTTTCCCCACACTCTTTGCCTGGCCATCTCCTTCTCATCCTTTAGGTTTTCAGAGACCCCTTCTCTGACCACTCCATCTAAACAGCTCTCCCCTGTTAGTCTTTATTATATTGTCCCATTGGTTTCCTACAAAGTATGTAATATAGTTTATAATGATACACTGGGAGCTCTGGTAATGTAGTGCCTAAGGCATTTGACTGATAACCAGAAGGCTGGCGGTTCAAACCCACCAGCCACTCCTCAGAAGGAAGACTGGGCAATCTACTTCCGTAGAGATACCGCCTCGGAAACCCAAGAAGCGCTCGCTATAGTCGGATCGAGTCAACAGCAGTGAATTTGGGTTTGGTTTTTAGTGATATACTGATTGGTTTGTTTAGTTGTTTATTGGCTTCTAATAAACTAGAGACTAGATTATGAGCTTTGTGAGGACAGACTACGACTGTCTGTTCAATACTGTCTCCTCAGCCCTAGAACATGCTTGGTACATAATTAGTGCTCTATACATATTTTGGAATAAATGATTCCATAAATGAGCCATGTATTCCTGTGCTTTGCTTTCCTGTCCTGTTAATGCATGTGTGAACATGCATGTGCACATGCGTGTACTTGTGTGTGTGTCTCACTGTTACTGGGTGACAGCATGAATATGATATCAAGTGTGGTTATCAAAGTCTATTACTGTGTATGTCAGAGGTCTTTAGTGTGACACCACTTTCCTTCAGGACAGAAACAATTTCCTTCCTTCTCTTTCCTTCTTCTTCCCTCCCTCAGTGTTCCCTCACCTGGAGTCCCACCTATGGAAATTCATTCTTGCCGGCCTAATGAAGGTAGAAGGGGCAGTGTGGGGATGGGGAGAACAGGTGGAAAGTCTTAGACTCAGGTCGGGCAGGGGCTAGTCCTCTCTTCTCCCAGCCACCACCATTTCCAGGATGGGAGAGGTTTGAGGAACCTACCTTCAGAAAGTCTTTCTTCTCCAGACTGTCCATGATCACAGGGGGAATGGCTGAGGGGAGGGAAGGCAGAGAGGGAGTCAGTGGAGAGAAAGCAGGAAACCCTGAGGAGATGAGACGTCTGCTCCACAGCACTTCCCTTCCTTCCCACTCTCCTCAGAGTCTCGCTTCCCCCAGAGTCCCCAGAACACCCGAGAACCACACACCACTCCCTTCTCTCAGAGCTCCCATGCCCCACTCAGCCACTTGTGCCTTACCCATGGCAGGAATTGCCATGCAGATCCTTGATATCACCACCTGGAAGATTCCCTGTTTGGCCGCTGTCACTGAGTAGCCAAACCTCTGACCTGCCTCATCAGTCACTGGGATGCCTACTTGCAGCTCCCTAGGAAGGGAAGGGGTGGGGGGGTCAGGTCACAGGCCCAAAATCCCACCTGCAGTTTCCTGATGCACAACTACTTCCTGGGGCCCCTGGACATTCTAGACTTAAGGGCCACTATTCTCACCCCCAGAATCCTACAGTCAGACTGAGTGGTCAGAATGAGACAGGACCCCAAAACCCATGTCCAGGGAAGAAGCAGGAGTATCCCCACTCTGGGCTGGCCTGCCTGGATGGGGTGGATGATATGCCTACATGCTCACTGGGCATGCACACGTTGGGTCTGGGGCCACTCACCTCTGCCTCATCAGGGGGATGTTGATGCAGTTGGCAGCTGCCACTGCTGCAAAGGGCACAAATCTGCCAACCAAAGAGGGCAGGTGCTAGGGGAGGAAAGGCATGAGTCAGGGGCCTTGAGGACCATGGGGTGGTGAGGGACTCTGAGAGAGATATGGAGAGTTTACAGGTCACGAGTAGAGGGGCGATAGGGAAGGAGGCCTTTACCTTGGTGAAGGATTTGAGTCCCAGAGCTGTGGCCACAGCCCCAGTGGTGGCACTCACATAAGCTGTTCCCAACTGCCTGTGGGTGGAAGAGCCAGGTCACAAGGGGGAGGCGAAGAGTCCAGAATGTGGTTCTTTCCTTCAGGAACATGCTAAATCCTCAATACATGAGGTGTGGGAGGGTAGCCTTACTGCAGAGAAAGGCCCTCTCCCCACATCCAGTGTAGACTTGTCTGGAAGTCCCAATCGCTGCCCTTAAAGAGGTGTGGACTCCCAAATCATTCACAAAAGGACCTCAAGCCCTCTGTTAGGCAGGGAAGGTGGGGGCGAGGGGAGGAGGAAGGCTGGGAGGAGGGAGCTGAGCCACTGGTTCAAGGTTACATGGAAGGGAGTAAAAAAGAGGGAATAACAATGGCTGGGAACAGAGGACCCAAAGGGGCACTGCAGCCCTTCCTGGGGCACTAGCTCTCACCTGGTTGTGATGGGAGCGTCGCCACTACGGTTGGAGTAGTTGACAATGGCATTGAAGGACTGGTTCACCCACTGCCAGAACACCACAGTTGGGGTCTTCCTGAATGAACAAAGACACTGACTCTTGTCCCCTCTACAGTGTCCCCCATCCTTAGGCCCCTATAATTAAACCCGAAAGGCTATTACCAAACCTGCAGGAGGGAGTCAGATGGTGACCCTAGAACTTGCTCTGATAACCCCTGCATACCCTCCCCCACATGTTTACACAAACACACCCACTCTCTCTGGGAAGAAAGAACCCCCAGGGCCAAGTTTTGAGGACCAGAGTCTATGGAAGTGGCCCTCTTCACCCACTATCTTCTGCCCAGACTGGCCCAGGGAGGAAACACCTAGTCTAGTTCAGACAGAACACTCGGGAAGGGGATATAAGGACCCAGGACAAGACCTGCCTATAGAAGGTGAGCATGCAGCCGGTGATGATCATGTTCATGGGCACCTGGGCTGACATGCGGCCGATGAGGACTACCTTCTCCCCTGTGTCCGGGTGGAAGGCAGAGTCATACACATACTTGGCCCTCCACAGCTGGTCTTCGGTGAGCCCTGGGGGTATCACACCAGCCCTGCAGAGGTTGGCAGAGAACAGAAAAGCTATTTGGGGACACACATTTCTCCACCTGCCCAGTTTGGGGAAAGTCTGAGCAGAGAACTAAGAATTTTGCCCCCCAAGTCTCAGAATAAAGGAGTTCCCTTGCCTCTTGGTGTGGGTCAGAGCTCCCCAGAAGTGAAGGCTCCTATTTCCCTTCTGGCCACACAAAGAGGGGTGCCCCTCTGTTTCTGCCAAAATGCCGGGTCATAGGCAAGGGTGGTTTCCAACCTGGTAGAAAGGGCCAAGGCCCTTACAATGATTTTCACTTCCTCCTGGAGACAAGAGGGATGCGTCCTGCCTCCCTGGGATTCAACTCTGATCCTCTCTGTCTGCAGAGGGTGGCTCAGCGATGGACTAAGTCCCTGTAGAGGGTTTGTGAAGCACAGAGCAGACTCCACTCATAAACACCAATGCCACCTATTCAGCGCGAACGCCCTAAAATCCTCGAGGTTAGAGCTCTGTGCCACAGTTGTCTATAACACCAGCAGAGAGGGCCAGGGAGTGGGGGTTGTGGAGTGGGACGGTGTTACTCTTAACCTGGGGGAAGCAGGTGCAAAAGGTACTGTGACAATCGAGACCCTGGAGAGCAGGGCCAAGTAAGGGGTCACCTGTAGTTCTGCACAATGTTCCGGGAAGCTTCCAGCTGTGCTCCAGACAGCAGCAGATTTCGGGGGTCAGTGACAGTGAAGAAGTGCCGGGCTCTGCCCAGGAACGTGCTTTGGTCCCAGCGAGGTTCCTGGATGTTGATGTCTAAGGGCAACTCACCCATTTTCTGCAGGGCAGAGACAAGGGTCAGAGGGCTCCAAGAAGAGATCCAAGGGCTCCCCCTGGGGGAGATTTGGGAAGCCCTGTCCTTGTCCTTGAGCCTAAGGGTAGTCCATTCTAGAGCTCAAGGTTGCTCCAGAGAGGTAAGCAAGTTAGGGGGAGGAGCTGTTTCCTTAGCAATGTCCTGGCCCAGGAGTCTCTGGAGGCACCCGCAGCCACTGGACGAGGAGAAGGGGAAGAACAGAACAAGGCAAACATATTTCCTTGTCCTTGGCCTGGTGTGGAATTTCATGAGTGTGGTGGATGCATGAACAGAAACTAACTCCCAAGCATCTGACTACTCATGTTCACTCTGGATGCACAAACATGCATATTATATGCAGTATACTCCCATGTTCATGGATAGCTTTAGGCCCCAGCTGCCCTGAGACCTAGATGCAAAGCCATCCCACACTCTGCCTTTTGATTGGAGGAGAACAGGGCTCATTGGCCACACCAGGGTTAATCTGTTCCAGATCTCAAACCGGGGACTCTGATGCCAGCTGTGTGTAAGTGTGTGCAGGCATGCACATGTCGCCTTCCTAGACCCATCTTCCCCGACCCATACTGAACTGTCCAAGGCTCTCCCTGCTCCATGGCAGGGCAGAGTTGGCACAGACACCCACAACCTTTCCCTGAAACACCTGCACCCAGAAAGGAGGATTCAGTAGACACCCTCTCCACATAGCACAGAGAGGAAAGCCAGGAGCAGCCATCTGGCTGTGTGAGGCAAAATCCCACAGAATGATTAATCCTCTCCAACCACACTTCCTCCCCCACAGGCAGGCACACCCTCAGCTCTCTCACACATTCACATACCCACACACAAAAGACACCATCATGCACGCCCTGCACCCACAAGCAAGGCGGGCACACCCTGGACACGCCAGCCCACAAAGACCGTTACTTACACACAGTGCACACACACACACACACATACACACAGCTCATGCATCAACTACAGCCAGGAGCACGTGACTGCACTAAGCCCCACCCTAACATTCCTCCCTGAAGCCCACCTCTCCTCCTGCCCCCTGCCCTCTCCAGAGATGAAGGCTGAACCCACAGGGCAGAGCATCAGGGTAGACCTCCCGCAGCGACTGAAACCCGCCCAGGACTGCAAGCACTCACGCTTTCCTGGGTTCCTGGCTGCTGCTGCTCTCAGACCCGCCTTCCTTTCCGCACGTCCCCCAGGCCCGCCCAGCCACCACGCGGGACGTCACACGTGACGTTGACCAGCAGGGAGGGGCAGGGACTTGTTGGGTATGTCCATAAGCTGGGCCGCAGGATTGGCAGAGCCTGGGGGTGGTAGGTGTCTTTTGGCGCGACACCCCTCAGCCTGGACCGCGTCCCCGCGGTCCCACTCCTCCTCCTCCAGCCAATCCGAGAGCGGGGATCAGTCCTAGCCAGATCTCTAGAGAGAAAGAGGGAGGAGCCACCAGCACTGCTCTCTGCTTGCAGCTCCCTGGAGGGCCTCCGGGGGCAACCAGCTCCTGCAGAAAGGGGTCTAGGTACTCTAGGTACTCAGAGAGAAAGCGTGCAGAGAGCAGGCAGGCGATGTGTAGGGGCCACCCCTGGGTTACTACCTGGTTTGTTTCCTTGGTGGCTGCCTTGGCAGTGGGCTGTGAAGGCCTACCCCCTGTGGTCCTACCGTAGTACCCACCAGCTCCTGCCGCAGCCCCTCGCCTTCTCCACCCCATTCACAGCCCTGCTCCAGCCCTTTAGTCTTCCAAAGTCCCCTTTCTGCTGCTCCTCTATAACCCCTGTGTCCCTAGGATCCTTGAGCCCCCAACCCTGAGCCTGCACCCACAGAGCTTAGTCCCAGGCCCTGCTCTGGGGTGCAGAGGGATAGAGGCTTAAGGAACCTCTGCCTGCATCCAAGCAAATGAGTCAGAGTTCTCCCTCTTCCTGGCGTCCTGGGACCAGCTGACCCACACTGCAATCTTTTCAGAACTGAGTGGCCGGAAAGACACCTTCTGGTGTCATAGAAGAATATCGGTGAGGAAGGTGAGCCTCAGCCCCCACGCATACATTCACATACACACTCACAGTTCTCCCAGCCACCGTAATAAAGTGCTGGGGTGCCAGCCCCGCTCGGGCCCACCGCAGGTTCAAGCCCCGTTCTGTCCAACTGACATTCCCCTACTGAGCCTTCACAGGTGACCGCAAGAAGTGACAATTCCAACAGCCAAGGTAGCTGCCTTGGCCAGGAGAAGACGCATCTCTGCTCAAAACGCGGAGCGGGAAGGGGAAGGACCAAGATCCAGGACTCAAACTCGCAGGGTGCTGTGGGGCGGGGCGTCAGCGGCCCCAGCCAGCGTGAAAAGCTACAGTCTTGGGTACTCCAGAGAGGTGCCGGGAAAGAGTGACTGGTGGCCCTCCCAGCCAATGGGAGCCTGCGGCTGCTCGGGCCAGCCCTCTTCCCGCAGCCTAGGCGGCAAGGGGGCGGGGTCCCCAGCCAGCTGCCGCAGTCTCTCGCGCCCGAGGCCGGCGAGGCCTGCGGAGGCCACACGCAAACAGGTGAGGGGGGCCGAGCCCGAGGAGTGGGGGCCGGGAAGACCGAGCTGGGGATAGGGAGCTGCTGTCTGGGTTTCCAGAGATGCTCTAAAGACTTGTCCCTGGTTTTGCTCTGGGCGTTGTGTTTTGCTGTGGCCCTCGCCAGAGCTCCTCCCCCCAGGCCTGGGAGAGGGTCATGCAACCTCCTGGGATGGCAGTCTGCAATCTGGGGGTTTCTGAGGACCTTGGCTGCAGCTGTCCCAGGTCCTGAAGGCCTACCCTCGAGGCCCGAGCCCTGGGGGTTGGTCTCTAGCCCTATATACTGGAGTGGGGGTGTAGTGAGTGTCCTCAACCCCCATTTCTCTCACAATGCTTGGAGGCCCGGGACCCGCTGTAATCTCATCTCCACTCTCTTATCCTCTACAGGGGACTGGGAACAGGAGTAGATAACTCACATGAAAGCAGGATGGGGGGAGGGGGGTGAGCGAGATGCTCCCACCCGCTCTTTGGGTAAATGGCTCCAGAAATCAGCGATGGTGCCTGGGCCGGACAGGTCTCTGGCCAGGGGTGGGGGAGGTGGGGGAGATGGGAGGTTTAAGACATAGGAGGGCAGGATGCTGACACCAGGGAGAGGGATGGAGGTTCGGGGGGGCACCAGGGGAGCACTCACATCCCCTCCCCAATCTCCCGCTCAGCCCAGGCCTGGAGAGCATACTTCTGAAAGGCAGGCGGTGACGGGTGACGGCCTCCCGCATCACTGAGACCCCAGCCCCTCACGCTCATGGCGCCCCCAGCACGCGGGGACCACCTCTCGAGGGCGGGCAGGTTTCTTCTGGACTTGTAGGGCCCTGCCGCACTCCTGCCGCCATGGCGCACGGTTTCGGAGTGGGCTTCGACGCACTGGGCCTAGGAGAACTTAGCTCCGGCTCGCTGAGCTCCCTCTCCTCCCGGGGCCATCTGGGCAGCGACTCGGGCTCCGCAACGCGATACCTGCTGAAGAAGCAGCAGCGGCTACTGAATGGGCCCCCCCGCGGAATCCGAGCCTCGTCGCCCATGGGACGCGTCATCCTCATCAACTCCCCTATCGAAGGTGGGGGCGGGGCCCAGCCGCGGGGGCGGACGGGGCAGGGGACAGCGGGGAGCTAAGTGGGAGGGGCAAGGCCAACATGGGTGGGGGAACCCGAGAGATGGAGTTCTCAGGGAAGTGGGGAGCCCTTGGGAATTCGTGCACTTCTCCTCACCTGCCCTTGCCTCTCCTCCAGGCCAATCCTTTGGTGCTTCAGGATTGTAGAGGGGCCAGTGATGGGAGAGAGGGGCATGGAGGCAGGGAAAGTCTGTGTGTGTGTTTGTGTACGTGTGTGTGTGTGCGCGCGCGCGCACGTGTGTGTGTGTGTGTGTGTGTGCGCGCGCGCGCGCGCACGCCTGCAAGGGTATGTACTCTATGCTAGCTCCCAAGTGAGCAGGGCTTAGTATTGAATGGGCCCCTCCCTCCCTCTGACTGCCTTTCTCCATCCCATTTGTGTGTGCCTCAGGCTGGGTGGAGTGGGATGGCAGAAAGACATCCTCTACTGTGTGACTAGCTCTGTGCTGGGTTGTGAGGAGTCAGGGCCCAGTCTGGCAGACAATATCAAAGGCTTCTGGTGCCGAATGAGGGTAGAGCAACAACAGTTCAGAAGAGCAGGGAGACCAGGAAAGAGCCCTAAAACTGGAAGCTGAAGGAGAAAGAAAATCTAAGCTTATGTGGCTGTTTAATGCCGCTTCATTGCACACCAATTCCCCATCAGACTGGTTAGCCCCTGTAGGGGACCTAGACAGAAATAAGGCTCAATCGTCATCTTCCAGGAATGTACAATTCAGCAGCATTTAAAGACAGAGCAAGGAGAACCACTGAGGGTGGGACGGAGCTATCGTGACAAAGACTGGAAGTGAGAAGCCCTGGAGCACAGTGGGGCCAGCACTGAGGAGACATAACCTGGCTGCAGTGGCAGATGTGAGGCGACAGAGCTAGTGAGCAGGGCAGGACCTCCACTGCCAGGGGAGGAGCCAGGGGCCCCCTGGGCCTGGGTTTTCTGTGGGCAGGGCCAAATAAATGTCTCCAGCTTCTCTCCCCTCTGTCACCAGCAGGGCTGCCCTGACTGGATCCCAGCCTGGACTTTTCAGAACCCTATCAGGGTCCCTGGGGGCAGGGGTGGGCTATGCTGCTTGGGGAGTCATCCACCACACTGCGTCTCACCTGCAGGAGAAGCCAGACACTGCTGAGGGTTACCCCTGTCTTTCTGTCAGGGAGAAGAAGTCCCCAAAGGAATTAGGAGACATAGAGGGAGGGGGTACTGCAGCACTGGTTTTGTTAGTTCCATTTTATGAAAAGAACCCCCAGTCCCCAGCTCTGGCCCCTGGCTCCCCAGCACCCCCACACACACCATGCCCAGCTATGATGCAAGGGCTGTTTATACTACCCCTTCAAAGATCCTCTTCTAGAAGCTGTAATTGCTTTCCACCTTTCCCTCTCCCTCACCTTACTGCCCCCCTTCAGTACTGACCACATCCTCCCAGGGAGCAGCATCTCCTAGCTACTGAAGGACTAGAGCATTCCGCCCCAGTCAGCCTGGCCTCGGAGCTTCTGAGCTCAGAATTCTCAACATCTCCCAAGGCACCACAGCCGTGTTATTAGTTAGGGCCACTTCAGGGAAATAAAGTCACTGGTAAGGGAGAAACAGTGAGGAGGGGAATGCTGCTACCCACATCACCTCATGAGGTCCCACTACCTCCTCAAACTACTGGTCTTAGAGAAAATGCATTATCTTTAATCCAACGCAGGCTTTCCTACTTATCTCCTGTTCATTCATTCCTTCATTCCTTCATTTATCTTTTCATTTAAAAATATGTATCAATTACCAAACACTGTGTAACATACTGAGGCTATATTGGTGGAAGAGAACTTCAAACTCCCTACCATGATTGAGTTTACAGTCTAGTGAGAGGAGATAGATAGTAAGTGATATACAAGTAAGTGCTAATGAGAAAGGTTGGCTAAGAATTCTTAAGGAAATGACTTGGGTGATCTGATACAGCAGTGGTTCTTAAACTTTAAAGTGCATGAGAATTTCCAGGAGAGCTTTATTAAAAGACAGATTGCTGGGCCTCATCTCCAGAGCTTCTGACTCAGTGGGTCTGTGGGGAAACCCAAGAACTCACATTTGTAACAAGTTCCCAGGTGAAGTTGATGCTGCTGGACTGGGGACAACACTTTGAGAACCACTTTGAGAGACATAAACCAAGGGGCAGTCATTTGAACTGAACAAAGGGATACTACATGGATTAAAATCAGGAAAGGTGTACATCACAATTGTATCCTTTCACCATACTTACTCAATCTGTATGGTGAGCAAATAATCCAAGAAGGTGGACTATATGAAGAAGAATGTGGCATGAGGAAGACTTATTAACAACCTGTATATGCAGATGACACAACTTTGCTTGCTGAAAGTGAAGAAGACTTAAAGCACTTATTGTTGAATGTCAAAGACTACAGTCTTCAGTATAGGTTACACTTCAACATAAAGAAAACAAAAAATCCTCACAACTGGACCAATAAGCACCATCATGATAAACAGAGAAAATACTGAAGTTGTCAAGGATTTCATTTTACTTGGATCCATAATCAACCCCCATAGAAGCAGCAGTCAAGAAATAAAATGACATAATGCACTGGCCAAATCTGCAAAAGACCTTTTAAAGTGTTAAGAAGCAAAGATGTAACATTGACGACTAATGTGCACCTGATCCATGTCATGGTATTTTCAATCACCTCATATGCATGTGCAAACTGGACAACGAATAAGGAAGACTGAAGAAGAATTGGTGCATTTGAATTACAGTGTTGGGAAAAATACTGAATGTGCCATGAACTACCAGAAGAATGAACAAATCTGTCTTGGAAGAAGTACAACCAAATGCTCCTTAGAAGTAAGGATGGCAAGACTTTGTCTCACATGCTTTGGACATGTTATCAGAAGGGACAAGTTCCTGGAGAAGAATATCATGCTCAGTAAGAGGGTCAGTGAAAAGGGGAAGACCCTCAATGAGATGGACTGACACAGTGGCTGCAACTATGGGTTCAAGCATAGCAAACACTGTGAGGATGGTGGTGGAGGAACAGACACTGTTTGGTTCTGTTGTATATAGGGTCACTCTGAGTTAGAGCTGACTCTATGGCACCTAGTAGCAAGAACAATGTAACAGAGACTATCTAGGAGGAGGAGGAAGGGACTTCTTTAGGTAGGGCCATACAAGAAAGCTTCTTGGAGAAAGTGATACTTGAGGCTGTAGCAGAATGAGGTGAAGGAGTTGACCTTATTGTAACAGTCTAGGCAAGAGTGGGAGCTCTGGTGGTGTAGTGCCTAAGGCATTTGACTGCTAACCAGAAGGCTGGTGGTTCAAATCCACCAGCCACTCCTTGAAAGGAAGATTGGACAATCTAGTTCAGTGAGATATTGCCTCGGAAACCCAAAGAAAGGTCACTATGAGTCAGGACTGACTTGATGGCAGTGAGTTTGATTTTTTTTTTTTTTAGCCAAGAGTAGGGAGCTCTGGTGGCATAGTGCCTAAGGCATTTGACTGCTAACCCAAAGGCTGGAGATTCAAACCCACCAGCCACTCCTCAGAAAGAAGATTAAGCAATCTTCTTCTGTAGAGATACCACCTTGGAAACCCAGGGAAGATATCACCTTGGAAACCCAAGGAGGAAACCCAGGGAAGATATCACCTTGGAAACCCAAGGAGGGGTCACTATGAGTCAGAACCGACTCAATGGCAGTGAGTTTGTTTTGTTTTGTTTTGTTTTAGGCAAGAGTAGTCCAGGTGGAGGGAATACTGATGGAGCTTGGCTGTATAAGTCACCAAAAGTTCAGTGTGACCAAAGCTCAGTGGGGGAGGGGAGAGTGGCCAGGCCTTAGGCGCTATGCCACCAGCGCTCCTAGAGGTGAAGGGAGAAACAGGAAAACCCTTGGAGAGCCTTATAGGGCAGAGGGAGGAGTTTGGATTTTGTCCTGGAAGCATGAGGAGCTGTTGGAAGTTTTTAATCAGGGGAAAGGCATGATCTAATTTAAAAGCTGACTCTAGCTGCTGTGTTGTTGTTATGTGCCTGTCTGACTCATAGTGACCCCTCCTTGGGTTTCTGAGGCAGTATCAAAGGCGAGGTGGTTAGGATGTTGCTGCAGAGTGCCAGAGGAGGAAGTCCATGACCTGGTCTAGGGCAGTAGAGGCTGAGAAGGTGCCATTCCTGGGAGTCGCAAGCTCCTGGGCCCAAACTTGGATTTGACATCTCCTTGGACCAGGACCCTAAGGAGGCTTCATGGAGGGACTGAGGAGAAAGAGAGCTAGGAGAGTGAGGAGAGAGGACAAGTGCCTTTGGCTAGGGCTGAAAAGGTCCTGAGGCTCTCCCTAGTGTAATCCTCCACCATCTCTGTCCACAGGCTGCCCTTGGGGATTTCTTCCTCAGCCACCTTTGTCTTGCTTTGTAACCTGATTTCTCTTAGATCAAATAGAGGTGTGTGTGTGTGTGCCCACGTGATTTTTTTTTCCTCACAAACACCTCTAGAGTAAGCATTGCCTGCAAAAAAAATCTCAACTTCTCACCTGGGACCCCACCTACCGTTTTGTCTTCTCACTTCTCTCTAAGCAGAAGGCCTTCTCAGGGATCCACCTCTGAGTCTTTGCTCTCTCCAACCCTTCATCAGTGCCCCTTTCCAAACCCTCCACCTTTCCAAATCCCACCCCTCTTTGTCCTCCAAGAAGCATGCCTGTGTGTGAGTAACCCAGAGGACAAAGCCAAGCCCACACAGCGAAGTTAGATGAAGGCAGATTTTGGCTCAGTGTAAAGGAAAGCTTGGTCCTTCCCTCTGGGTTACACAGACAAAAACAACTAGGTCTTCCACAGGAAAGCTATTCAGATACTTGAAGAAAGAGCTAATATTCTAATTTCTACTGCTGGTTTCTACTGCAGCCCAGACACTGTCAATTGTGCCCATAGGATGAAATCTCCACCCTTCTTTCCCATCCATTTCACCCTTAGAGTGGCAGAGTTTTAGGAATTTGGCCCACCCCAGGTGTATGTACATGGGAAGCTCAATAAGCGTTGGACCCCCACCCCTTCACCCATTATAACAGAAGGAAAACCGTGCTTCTAGCATAGAGTCCTGTCCTGTTTTCTCTTGTTCCACACCTTCCCTGGACCATAGTCTCAAAACTACCTAGATGGGACTCAGAAATTGGACACCTTCCCATTTAGGGCCCTAGGTACCTGTGTAGCTGCAGCCAGCAGCTTGGTGTTTACAGGCCCTGAGCTGGGGTCTCCTCTGTGCCCAGCGTGAATGTGAAGATCATGTCTATGGCCTCATCCCCACAGCCAATAGTGATGAGAGTGACATCATCCACGCAGTCCGGGTGGAGAAGAGTCCAGCAGGGAGGCTGGGATTCAGTGTGCGGGGCGGCTCTGAGCATGGCCTGGGCATCTTCGTCAGCAAAGTGGAGGAGGGGAGCAGTGCAGGTGAGACACCAGCCTAAGGGATACGATCCCTACCTCGGCAGCATGGTGGATGCTGTTTGTTGTCAGTCAGTGATGGGGAGACACAGAGTCCTCAGTTATGGAGGGCCTGATTCAATGGGGAGACAGAACCCACCCTCAGGGTAGAGTAGGGTAAGGGACGGGCCCCTAGTCTAATGGAGAAAGTAGGGACTCCTACTCTGGGGATCCCCAGTTTGATGGAGGAAGTTCAATTTGGGAATGCCTAGTCTGATGAGGGAGGCTCAGTTCCACCCTGGGGGAGCCTTCTCCCAAGTGTCCCGTGCCAACCACCCTCCTCCCCGGTGCAGAGCGAGCAGGCCTGTGCGTGGGGGACAAGATCACAGAAGTAAACGGGCTGAGCCTGGAGAGCAGCACAATGGGCAGCGCCGTGAAGGTTCTGACGGGCAGCAGCCACCTGCACATGATGGTTCGGCGCATGGGCCGCGTGCCGGGCATCAAGTTCTCCAAGGAGAAGACCACATGGTGAGCAGTGCCCAGCCCTGGCCCTGGCTTTGCCCCACCCACCACCCACCCCAGCACCAGCACTGCCCAAAACCCGTTGGCAGCAGAGGCTGAGGAAATGGCTCGGCACAGGGCCTGGCTAATGTGGCTCTGCATCCCCTGGGTGCTGGAAACACTGAGAGCCTAAGATGCTTGAAATGAGGACAAGCCTCATCCCTCCCCTCAACAGCTCTGCTTTCCCAGATGCCAGTGGCCCTGCCCTCTGCATTGCTGCTACTCTGAAACGTGGGGATAATATAGCACCTGCCCCACAGGGAGGTTGAGAGTTTTAGCAATGGGACCAGCACATAGTAGCTGCTCAATAAAAAGAGGTGCTATGATGGTTTACCAGATTTGATGAAATGTATGGCCCACTGAAGGTCCCAGGCCTGGGAAATACCCCAAAGGCAAGTTCCCCCCACTTCCCATGCAGTTGTCAGGGCTGCTGGGAGAAAAGGAGAGGGGTGGTGGTAGATGGGGGGGTTCTGGGCTGAGGGCCCCTTGCTGTTGGCCCAGGGTGGATGTGGTGAATCGGCGGCTGATAGTGGAGAAGTGCAGCTCAACGCCGTCCAACAGCAGCTCAGAGGATGGTGTGTGCCGCATTGTTCACCTATACACGACCTCCGATGATTTCTGCCTGGGATTCAACATCCGTGGGGGCAAGGAGTTTGGCCTGGGCATCTACGTGTCCAAGTGAGGGCAGGGGCAGGGAGACAAAAGGGGTAAGGCTGAAAATGAGGCCTGGACTGGAACCTAGGCATAGGTCAGCAAGTGAAACCTGGCCAATGATATGTCCAAATGAAGCTCTAGATCAAGGGTGGGATCTGAGGAGGGGGGCAGGGGTTACCAGGAGGATCAAGAAGTTTGAATAGGACATTCCTGTGTTCTAGAGATGGGAGTCTGGAATGGGATAAGGAAGGGCAGGCCAGGTGGCCTATCAGACTGAGACCCATCTGCTCCTAGAGTGGACCATGGTGGACTGGCTGAGGAGAATGGTATCAAGGTGGGGGACCAGGTTCTGGCGGCCAACGGTGTCAGGTTCGACGACATCAGCCACAGCCAGGCCGTGGAGGTGTTGAAGGGCCAAACGCACATCATGCTGACCATCAAGGTGGGCAGGCTGTGGGAGTCGGGGAGAGGTCAGATTGGGAGGACTTCCCAGACCACCAAGTACTTAATTATGTCTATTGCTCTGCATGTTGTAGGACGTTTTCATAGCCATACGGGAGGTAGGGTGGGCATCATTCTTATTCTTATTCTGCAGAAGAAACTGAGGTACAGAGAGGCAAAGCAACTCAGGAACCATGTCAAATATTCAGCTGAAAAAAAAAAAAAAAGGAGGTAGAGGGTGGTTACAGCTCAATGAGTTCAGCTAAGTGGTTCAGTGGCAGAATTAAAGGAAAAAAAAAAAAACAACATCCACTTAGCCGACCAGTGGCAGGGCCTGCTTCCAGCCCTGTTGCCCAGACACCTAGGGTACGGTTCCTTGGGTGGGGTGGGAGCTGGGGCTTTGGGCCGGATGCCTGGGTGGTGGGTACCTTCAGGTCCAGAGGAGACTGGGCTGGAGCTGGAGATTGGGTTTCAGGGAAGCAGCCGGATTCATTATTCATGCAGGTCTCACACTTGCCTGAGGATCAACTCCTTCTGGCTGTGGCTCTTGGAAGAGAGGAGGTGATGCCTCCCACTCTTCCAGTGCCCAATCCTGGCCCCTGCTCCACCTTTCTCCTTTTCCTAAAGGAGCTCTGCTGGTGAAGTGTCTAAGGCATTTGACTGCTAACCAGAAGGTTGGTGGTTCAAACCCACCAGCCACTCTGCTAAAGGAAGATAGGGCAATCTGCTTCTGTAAAGATTTCCCCCTCGGAAACCCAACGTGGGTTGCTATGAGTCGGAGTTGACTTGATGGTAGTGGGTCTGTGGTTTGGTTTTCACCTATCTTGCCCTTCCCTGCCTCTACTGTTCTCCCCCCCCCACCGCTATTTCCCACCTCTCCCACATCCCATTTCTCCACTTCCTTCCTCTTCAAATTATCCCAAACACCACTCCTCACACCTGCCCTGCCCCTCATTCATTCATTCGTTCAACAATATTTTTGAGTATCTACTATGTGCCAAGGAACTCTGGTAGCATAGTGGCTAAAGCACTTGACTGCTAACCAGAAGGCTGGTGGTTCAAATCCACCAGCCACTCCTCGGAAGGAAGGTTGGGCAATCCTACTTCCGTAGTGATACTGCCTCAGAAACCCAAGGAGGGGTCACTATGAGTCGGTGACGACTCGATGGCACATAACAACAACAACAACAACAACAACAACTATGTGCCAACCATTATGCCAGGCATTGGAGCTACAACAATGAACAGGATAGACAAGGTCTCTGCTATTGAGGGAGATAAAAAAAATAAACAAGATATTTGCAGACCGTGACAAATGCTGTAAGGAAATTAATAGAGACATGGGATGAATAATTTAGGAAAGCCCCCTTTAACCAGGGGCAGGGTGAAGGCAGGCTTCTCCGAGGAGGTGACAACTAAAGGGAAGGAAGGAGCTAGCTGTGTATTGGACTGAAGGAAGAGATTTCAGGTAGAAAGAATAGCCAAGGGCAAAGCCCTTAAGGTTCAAAGGAATTTGACATATTCAGATTGTGATGAGTGTGGCTAGAGCTTGATGAATTTGGGGAAGAGAATGGGTTGAAAAGTGTACTCCTGTCCCATCACTCCCCTATTCTTACCCTCTCATGCCTGGCCCCCTACACCCTCCCCAGGAGACGGGCAGGTATCCTGCCTACAAGGAGATGGTTTCTGAATACTGTTGGCTGGACCGAAGTAAGTGACTCAGGCTCCAAGATTGGAGGGAAAGGACTGGCCTGAGGGTAGGGTGGGATCTCTGAAGAAGAAGGCACCCAAGTCACTTAGCAAGTCAGTGGCAGATTGCTAACCACCCTTCTCCCAGACCTTGAGGTTCCACCTGCTTGTACTCCCCCCTCCCTCCCCCAGCCCCAGGTAGTTGCAAGCCCTGCAGCAACCAGGCCAGAGCCCTGAGATGTCCTTGCCTCCACCCTCCCCACAGTGAGCAATGGGTTGCTGCAGCAGTTGTCCCAGGCCTCTGAGAGCAGCTCCAGCGTCTCTTCCTATGCCTCCAGCGCCCCCTACAGCTCAGCCGAGGGCTCAGGCTCCCTGCCATCGGACCACAAGGATGTCTGCCTGGGGCCAGAGGAGCCGGCCAGCTGTGGGCCAGGCTGGGGACGGGCAGACACAGCCATGCAGACAGACCCGGACATGGGGAGCCTCGTGGAGACCTGGTGCAGCGTAAGGCCCACAGTCATCCTCAGGGACACAGCCATCCGATCTGACGATCCCCCCTCTGCCCGCCGCCTTGACTCTGTGCTCTCGGAGTCCCCCAAGACTGCTCTGCTGCTGGCCCTCAGCCGACCCCGGCCCCCCATCACACGCTCCCAGAGCCACCTGACCTTGTGGGGTATGTGGGAGACAGATGGCTGCTACTCTCTCCACAGCCCCTGGTCTAAAACCTGTCTTAGAACCTGTTCTGCGACCCAGATCTCTGCTCAGACCCCTGGCCCAGCTCCTAGAACACACTCAGCCCCTATTCTGGGCTCCATCTTAAACTAGTCCTGGGCCCAAAACCTTCCCTGAGTCCAAGGCCCAGCCAGTAGGGTTGTACTTTGACATGTGTACGCGTGCACGCGCGCGCAGACACACACACACACTTCCAGTTGCTCCAGCTGGCCCTCAATGGAAATTCCTCACAGTTTTTGCTGTGGGGTGGTGGGAGGGGGTAGATTACTGGAGGAAATCACGCCCTATGCGCCCCCATCCTTTACTCCCCTCCCAACCCCCACCCCACAGGTCCTGCCTGCCTCCTCTGCTCCCTCTTCTCTCTGCCCCTTCCCACACCCCTGCCCCTCCCCTGTCCTTCCCTTCTACCCACTCCTCCAGCCCCCTTCCTCCCGGGTGCTCCCTTGTGTTTGCAGAGGAGAAGAAACAGCGGAAGAAGGCAAAATTGGGGCTCTTTGAGGAGAAGGGTGCCCTGCAGCGCTCCAAGACACTGATGAACCTGTTCTTCAAGGGTGGGCGGCAGGGGCGGCCAACAGGGGACAGGCACAGAGAGGCCTGGACACTGCATGGAGGGAGCTTGGCAAAGCCCCGCCCTCGCCTGGACATGGAGAAAGGTAAGTACCAGAGTGATCAGATGGGGAGGGCAGTGGTAACATCCACCAGCTTTGGCATCCAGCAGTTCTGGGTGTAAATCACAGTCACCACTCAACCCCTGTGAGCCTCATTTCCTCCTGGGTAAAGTGAGAATGATAATATTTATTTCTTTAGGAATAATAATAATAAAAACCAAACTCACTGACATCAAGCCAATCCCAACTCATAGCGACCCTCCTTGGGTTTCCAAGGTTTTATCTCTATGGAAGTTGATTGCCCAATCTTCCTTCCCAGAGTAGCTGGTGAGTTTGAACCGCCAACCTTCTGGTTAGCAGTCAAATGCCTTAGGCACTATGCGGAATAAGTGAATTAGTGAATGCACATCACTTAGCACACAGATCTGGCACACAGAAGAGGCTCAAAAAATATAGTGGTCATTGTTACTATGCCTAATCTCCACCTTTTATAGAAGGAGACACTGCTGTAGTCACAGCATAGCAAGGAAGTGGAAGAGCTCAGGTGAGGCCCCTGGACTTCTGAGTGGGGGCCACTCCTTTCCTGGAGCATTTGGCTTCACTCCACTGGCTAGAGCCCCGGAGGCCCTACCCAGTTCTAGAAGCATCCTTGGACAAGGCCATTTCTAGATCAGGGCCCAGGCAGAAGTGCCCAGACCAAGCTGTACTCATGCCAGGAGCCTCCTAAGGACCCTCACAAGAGGTCCTCCATCTCTCTGCTGAGGTTCAAAGACTAGACAAGAGTGAATGAGTGAAGACGCTTGGGGTTACATGTGACAAAACCTCAACTCCATCTAGCTTAACTCCATCTAGTGCACTTCTTGGCTCAGCTACTGATTTAAGCTGGGTCTAAAGGTTCAAACAGTATCATTAGACATCTGTCCCCTCACCTTTCGGTTCTACTGCCCCATGGGTTGGTTTCATTATCATGAAGGCTTTGCCCACTAGCCCTTAGCAATCCCAGGGAATGAAAGCTTTTCCTTCTGCATTTCCATGTTAAGCCCCATGGTGAGTTCTCATTGGCCCAGCTGGTATCACGTGCCCAGCTGCATACATCACTGTGATGTGGGGGAGAGAGAGGGCTTTCATCAGCAGCCTGGGTCATGTGCCCACCCTGGAGTATCTGGGCTGAGAAGGTAGGTGGGGTGGATCCCCAGGTAAAAATCAAGGTACTGTTTCCAGAAGAGGGAAGATGTTGAGAAGACAAAAACAACCAGAGGACAAGATGCTGGGTCCTTCCCCTCCTTGTGGGGTTGAATGTTCTGTGGTCTCAAGCTGACAGTCCCTTCAAATTAGGGCAAGTCAACCATTCTGCCTCAAACCATCTGTTTTCCCACAGTTCTCGGGCCCCTGCCCTCTCCGGGTTCTCCTCCCACCTCTTTGGCCACTCCTCTCTCCTTCAAAGGCTCCTTTTTCTACCTCTGTCTCTTTAAGGTAGGTGCTCCCCCAAGCCCTGTCTTTGAGTTCTTCCCTGATAAATTTCTTTTCAAATGAATCTCCGCAAGCAGAGCTCAGACTCCACCCTCTCTTGTTCCAAACCCTTCGCTGTCTCCCCATTGCTGATGAATGACGTCCCTAGCCTGAGCATGGCCTTTGAGACCCTGGTGGCCTGGCCTCTTGCCTCCCCGTCCAGCCAATCCTGAGCTCTCCTAACCTTCATTCTCAGATTGGGGCAGGGCCTGTGGCTGACCCTCTTTCTTTTTCCTAGCAGGGGGAGTGGGGCCTGTGCAGAAGTTTGTCACCTGGAGATTGAGACACGGTAAGTCATGCATTCTTTTACCGAGGCCTGGCTTGCTGTAGAGCTATAGGTAGGAATGCATGCTGAAGAATAACTACGGGGCTTTGGGCTAAACTCGGTGTCAAACGTGGAATCCAGAAAGTATGGAGGTACATATCGGGAGCAGCCAAAAGAAACTGTATTTTACTGGTAAACATAGGGTTGTAACAAAAAGATAGGACTGTACACAGATACTGGGGTGCATTGTGGGGACTAAGGGGCTTGGATTGGAACCCTCGAACAAGATTTTGGAGGACTCTGCTAAGACTCCAGTGGAGGACAGACTGGTATGAGAGTGTATGTTCAGGGGTCAGGGGCACTGTGCTGAGGATCCATTAAGGAACAGACTGGTATGAGCTCCGTCTGAGGAGCAGAGGGACCTGGGTTTGAAGCTCTATCAGTGAGAGAGGGTGGTGGGAAGCCAGACTGCCATCAGGAGCAGCTGGGCCCCTCAGCTGGTCTGTTCTGGGGCCCGATCCCCCACTTAGGGAAGCCTCTGCCCCTCCCCCATTCATCCTGATTCTTACCCCTTTGCTTCTGCTCAGTAGACCGGGAGAGAGGCCGGGCCCTGCTCTCTGCCAGATCCGGGAGCCCCTCCAGCCAGCTGCCCAATGTGGATGAGCGGCTGCAGGCCTGGGAGAGCCGACGGCCCCTTATTCAGGACCTGGCCCGGCGGCTGCTGACGGACGATGAGGTGTTGGCAGTCACTCGTCACTGCTCTCGGGTGAGCTTTCATCCTGCCCCAGCCTATGGTCATGCAGTCACCCAAGTCCCCATTAATTCAGGACACTCAGTCACCTCTTCTCTCATTTATTCAAGCCACTACCCACTGACCGGTATCTGGGCCCAGTGCTGAGAAGCCAATGGTCAGTAGAAGCAGATGCTCCCGTCTTTCCTCCCCAGAGCTAAGTTAGGAAGGGGAGACAATGAGTAGAACCTAAACACAGGGTGTTCCAATGGGTCGTACTCGACAGCAATTAACAACTAACACCTATCACCTGTAGCACTAAATCATGCCAAATGCTTTGAAGGAAAAGAACAGAGACAATAACACAGAAAGAACAAATTGGATGTTGTGGGCTGGAAGGCCTCCCTGAAGAGGTGATGTTGAAGCTGAGGAGAGAAGGAGCCAGGAGGTGATGAGAGGAGAGAGTGAGTGCCTGAGGCCCCTGCCTCTGCTCTACTCTCAGCCTCAGCCTTTTCCCCAGGCCTTCTGCTCCTGGGTCAGCCAATAGACCCTGCCCCATGCCAAGCCTCCTCTCCTGTTACCCAAGTAACTAATCCTTTCTCCACATACACACCTCAAGGCTTCCCCAACAGACACACTATTGTTCTCCATTTCTTTCCACTTAAAACAGAACCAGAGGGCCCCAGGACGGAACGGAAGTTAGAACTGATGGAAAGTTTGTAGCCTGAATGGTGAGGAGGCTGCAGGCGAGGAGGAGGTGCAGCCTGTCCAGAAGATTGGCAGGCCCCGCCCTCTTCCTCTGGGTTTCCTGGGAAACCCACTTGTCAGTGCACACACGAGCCTGTTGTGTAAGGGCACATGGAAGAGTTTCAGGAAGTTATTTGTGGATTCTCCCATCCAGTCACCTTGGCCAGGGCGGGGCTGTGTTGTATGTTTGTATGATGGGTGCTTTGGATGTCCATGGGGCTAGGTGTCGAGGAACCCGGGTCTGTATTGACAGGGTTGTATGATTTTATCTGTGTGTGATTGTGCACATGTCTGGCTAATGCACATGTGTGTCTGTGCATGTTGATGCTGGTGTCACGCTCAACTCTGAGCACTAAGCCCATCGGTATAGAGCATCCTGCTATGAGCCTGCAGTTTTGGGGTCTGGCCACTAGGTGGAACTCTGTGTCTGTCTCTTTAGTCACTTCCTCTCATCCCTCCACTCCCCTCACTCCGACCAAGCCAGGATTTCTCTCACTGAGCACTCAAATCACTTGGGGAGATTTATAAACCATCCACACCTGACTCAAACCATACCCACACCTCCAGACAACATCATCTAGGATCCCTGGCCTGAGGGACTAGTAAATCTCCCCTAGTGGCTTGGATGCTTGGACACATAGCCCTAAACCCCAAGCTATTCCCTTTCTCCCCTTCCCAGCCATTTCTCCCCAGCTGCCAGACCAGGCCATATAAATTCTCTGATCACTTTACATGCTTCACCCCACCACCTCACTGCCCCCCACTCCAGCTGTTCTGGTTATCTAGTGCTGCTCTGACAAGAATATACCACAAATGGGATGCCCTTAACAAACAGGAATTTATTTCTACAATTTGGAGGCTTTAAGTCCAAGTTCAAAATGCCAGACTCTAGGGGCTGAATGAAAGCCCTTCAACCTTGGGGTCCAGCTCTGTCTCCTGTTCCCGGCCCACTTGAGCTAGAGGCATTTCTTCACTCAGCTGCTGGCTGCTGAGGCTGAGAAGCCCCAGGGTTGACAAGTAAGAAGGTACAGTCCTGATGTTACCAAACCACACAGCAGGCCATTAACTTAAGTCCATTGTAAGTCCCAAGGTCGGCAGAGCATAGCAGGCTGCTGAGCAATGACACGGCTACATGCAGGGTCCGAGCGTGCCATAGGCTAGAGACCATACCCAAAGCTTCTCCTTATATACAGGAAGCAGACCACATCCCAAAGGCAGCTACTACTCAGCTGCTTGTGGTAGAGTCCACCATGGAGTTGATTGTCAGTCTCATCATGGGGAATAACTACCACCAGCTGCCCAGCCACTCAACCAGGCCCAGCCAAGTTGACACACAAACATAACTACCACACCAGCAATCTCTTATCTTTGGCAGAATAGAATACAAACTCCTAACCCTCACACCAGGAGCTCTGGTAGCATAGTGGCTAAAACACTTGACTGCTAACCAGAAGGCTGGCGGTTCAAACCCACCAGCCACTCCTCAGAAGGAAGCTTGGGCAATCCTACTTCCGTAGTGATACTGCCTCGGAAACCCAAGAAGGGGTCACTATGAGTCAGGGCCGACTCGACGGCACATAACAACAACAACCCTCACACCAAGTCTGTCTCTAATCTGACTCTTCTCCTCCAACCTGAGCTTCTCCATCATCTTCCCATGACACCAAATAGTTTAAACAGGTTATGAACTACCCAGCTCTAGGGGGTGCTGCTCACAAGTCGTAGTCCAACCTGTGCAGCCCTGCATGGAGGCCCTGCATGGACCCCACAGCCCAGCCAAACCTCTATCTACTCACTATCCCACATCACCCTCAGAGCACTTTCCCCTCAACTTACATGACGTTGCTCCATCTCTCCTGCAAGTCATTGTAAATGCCACCCCATCCAGGAAGCCCACTCTGACCGCCACTCTTTGAGGCACTCCCACCCCATTGCCAGTGATTTGTAGTTCACTGGGACATGTGGCTAGCCTTCATTTCCAGAGGACCGAATCCCTGAGTGCCTGGGACAGGGTCTTCATTGCGCTCCCACTGCCCAGTACACAGCCTAGCACTTGAGTGTCGAATCCAGGTTTGTGGACTTGAAGTGTGTGCACATGTGTAGCTGGTTTTGTGCAATTATGGGTATCTCTCTCTGCAGACAAAAGGGGGTGTATCGTCCATGTGTGTACGCGTGAGTCCCTCTTGTTTTGTGTATGGTTTAGGGCCACACATACAGTTCTATTTTATATATTTCCAGATGCTTGTAAGTGGCTCATTCTGACCACTAGGGGCTGCTGTGTCTCTGTGTTCATGTCCATAAGGGATGCTCTGTGCTTGAGCGTGTCTTCCAACCAGTATGTGCCTCCCTCACCACCAGGGGGCGGTGTGCTGGTCAAGTAGGATGGCTCCCAGAGTTCAATTTGCCTGAGTCAGTGGTGCTGGGGAGTGGCTGGTGGCATCCAGGCAGTGCCAGGCAGAAGAGGCTCTATCCCCTGGGTACTAATTGGAGAGGCTTCCTTACAGCCACCCCTGTCCCCAGATCCCCATCTCAGCCCTGAACAAAGCCTAATTTGTAGGTCTACGTGGGGACACACGCTGAGACAGCCAGGCCTAGTGTTTGGCTCAAATTCCTTTTTTCCAGCTGGCAGGTGAGGGAAGAGAGGGGAGTCTACTCCCTGCACACCTTTTTTGATACCAGACCAGGCAAGATCCAATCCCTCTTCACACTTTATTATCTGTGTGGCCTTGGGCAAAGTCCTTCTCCTCTCTAAGCCTTAGTTTCTTAATCTGTAAAATGGGAATCATTAATGTCATCTCCAGGATGGTTGTAGGGCTAAATAAATGAGAGACCATATGTAAAATGCTTAGAACAGTGCTTATCTCAAAATTGTTGTTGTTGTTTTTGCTATTATAGATCTATTATTATTATTTCAGGCTCCCACCTAGTTATCAAGATAAGACCACCCTGTGGACAGCCTGGGGGTGGGAGAAATCTTTCCTAAAGGTGAGCTGGCCCTCACCCAGCTCCGGAAGTCCCCCTACTGCTGTCTGACCTGTGGTCCCTCTGTCTGCAGTACGTGCATGAGGGTGGCGTGGAAGACCTGGTGAGGCCCCTGCTGGCCATTCTCGACAGACCCGAGAAGCTGCTGCTGCTGAGGGACATCAGGTGGGGAGGGGCCGCGGAGAAGGCTCGGGGGTGAGGAGGGGCTGATTCCCTCCCCCGACCTCCTAGGGCTGAAGCCCTCCCTGGCACCTTCAGAGCTGAGCCCCTGCCCACCCCGCACCTCTTGCCTCTCGCAGGAGTGTGGTGGCCCCCACAGACCTGGGCCGCTTTGACAGTATGGTGATGCCCGTGGAGTTGGAGGCTTTCGAGGCCCTGAAGAGCAGGACAGGTCAGCAGCTGAAGGGGCAGGACTTCTGCTTCCTGAGCCCTGCCCCCCCAGGTGGGGATGAGGGGGGTCTCCCAGTGCAGAGGGGGGCAGAGATTGCTGGAGACCCTTTAGCTGTGTCTAGCAGGGAGCCTGGCAGGGGCACCCTGCCTCTTACGCATCCCCCTCTCCAACCAGCGCGACCCCCTGCTTTGCGGCCAGCCCGGCAGGACACACCACCTAAGCGTCACCTCATCACCCCTGTACCTGGTCAGTCAGAGTTCTGGGTCCTCTGGAGGGGGCACAACCGTGGGGGATTGGGAGGCGCCAATGGGCCTTCTATCCCTGCCTTTCATGGGGCGGTTGGGTTTCAGACATACTTGGAGATTCCCTGAAGGAAAGCCCTCATCTGCGGAACCATTTGTACAACATCTACTCACCACCTGGACTATGATTTACTTAATCATTGTTTTCAAACCCACTCACTTTTTAAAGTTACTCTCGTTCTATGCAATAGTCTGAGAAACCACCAGTTCGGTGTGCTATTTATATTTTTTCTGATACATTAAAATAAAACTGTAAGTACACAATAAACTCCAAACTCCCTGCCATCGAGTCAATTCTGACTCATAGCGACCAGTGGGGTTTTTAAGGCTGTCAATCTTTGCAGAAGTAGATTGCCTTGTCTTTCTCCTATGGAGCAGCTGGTGGATTTGAACCACTGACACTGACCTTAGGTTCATCAGGCAGATGGCTTAACCACTACACCACCAGAGCTCCTTTAACTATACGACAGAAAGTACTGAAATACTATTACAATAGAACCTATTTGCCTGCCTCAGTGGCAAGTGGCCCTTACTACGGGAAACGTTGCCACAGGGCCTGAACAAACCCAGGCCTGCTTCTCGTAGGCCCGTCACACTCAAAGGCTGGGGTCTGGAAGGGTGGTCTGGGCTGGGAGCCCCACTCTTGCTGACAGGTGAAGAGGGGGCGGCCTGACTTGGTTCTGCTCCCAGACAGCCGTGGAGGCTTCTACCTGCTGCCTGTGAATGGCTTCTCAGAGGAAGAGAACCGGGAGCTGGGGGAGCAGCTGGGGAGCCTCAAGGTCTCTGTGGGTGCCTCTGCCTCCCGCTATCCCCATAAAGGGCTCCCCGCTCTCCAAGATGTGCCAGTAGATGCCTTTACCCCACATCGAAGCTCCTGCACACCCCATCCCCAGCCACCACCCGTGGCTCCGAGGCCCCCGCGGCCTAACTGGCTGCTGACAGAGCCCCCGGGCCGGGAGGACCCTCAGCATATCCAGAGTCAGGGCCTGACCCAGACCCGCAGCAGAAGCCACAGCCGGGGTCGAGGCAAGTCCCCTGGACGCAGGCGCTCCCCGTCTCCAGCACCTGTCCCCACCCCCAGCACAGCCAATGCGCGCTACCACAAACCTCGGAAAGCCAGGCCTCCTTTGCCACGACCTCTGGACGGGCAGACAGCCAAGGCAGGGGACAGTCCAGGGGCTTCTGAGAATGGAACTGGCAGAACTGAAGCCAAGGGGGTAGCCCCAAACTCCACCAGCGGGAAGCTGAGGACAGTTACCCTGTCCAAGATGAAGCAATCCTTGGGTGAGTCCAGGTGGGACTGGACCTGGCAAGGTGGACTCTTGGGTTTGGGTGAGATTGGTAGGCTTGGTTTGGGGGTGTGCTTGGTTTGGGGGTGTGCTAGGGAGCCTGGGCTTAAGACTGTACCCTGTGGTATTGGGTACAGTCAGGGGTCTAGATTTGAAATTTGGGATCTGGAGGACCAGGAGTTTGGAGCGAGCTGAGGCTGGAGTAGTAACAAAATTTGGGAGTTTGAGAGAAGGCGGATGCCCTGGATTTGGGGGTGGGGTCCTGGGTTTCCACTGGGCACTCAAGAGTTTTGGGGTGTGGCTGCACACTCACCCAGTGTTTCTCCCTCTCACTAGGCATCAGCATTTCTGGGGGCATTGAGTCCAAGGTGCAGCCCATGGTGAAGATAGAAAAGATCTTCCCTGGGGGGGCTGCCTTCCTCAGCGGGGCCCTTCAGGTGAGTGAGGAGCACCCAGGCTCTCCCTAGGCCTAGAGTAGGTGATGGGGTGGGGCTGGCACAAGCTCATCTTCCATCTCCCAGCCAGACATGTTGAGACCGGGTTGTGGGCAGGGGTCAGGCATGCAAGATGTGCAGGCCTAGGGAACATCTGTCCCCTCATGCTAGCCAGAGCCTGAGGGCGGCCCATCCCGTTCCACCCCAAGCCCAAGGGACAAAGGGCCATTGTCTGCACCCCACCCTGCCCCCAATGGCTCCAGGCACAAAAGTCCCATTGTCCATCCCTTCCACCCAGATGGGGGAGGAGTGTCCTAGCTGGTAGAGGTGAGAGAAGGCTGCCTTTGGCTGGTGGAGTGTGGGTGACCTGAGGGAGGGCTGTAATTTTCCCACCCCTGTCCCAGGCTGGCTTTAAGCTGGTGGCAGTGGATGGAGAGAGCCTGGAGCAGGTGACCCACCAGCGAGCAGTAGACACCATCCGTCGGGCTTATCGAAACAAGGCTCAGGAGCCCATGGAGCTTGTGGTCAGAGTCCCTGGGCCTGACTCACAATCAGCCCCCACTGATCAGCACCTTCCTGCTGACCCATCCCCTGCCCACTGATTCCTTGATGCTATTCTGGTCCTTCGCACTGGCTTCCAGAACCCATCAGTATCCATATCCCTCCCCCCACTGATGTCCTTCTCATCAACACCCACACCCCACCCAACTCCTGCTCTCTCTTAGATTCCTGCTCCTAGAGCTGCACACTGGTTGCTCCCATCTTCACACTTTCCTCCCTCCCTAATAATCACTAAAGCTCTGCCTTTTCCAGATAAACTTGGTGTCCAAGGACAAGGTGCTACTGGGTAGGCTGTAACTTGTGCTCGTCACCCCCCAGCCTCCCAAGACAGGAAGGGGGTCCAGAAACCCAGGGTCTGAAGCCTAAGATGGGAGGCACTTTCTCATGTCCCCATCTTGTTCCCCTAAGCACTGAGACATGGACTTTCAGGTAGAGCCCCTCAAGGAGTCATTGCATCTACCCCTCAGCCCCAAGCAGCGTTCAGCATAAGGGACAGGATGGAAGGCTGCAGTCCCTTAATGCATGAGAGCATTTCATGTGGTCCACTAGGATCTTAGACTTCATACTGGATTTCCCTCTCTTTCCACAAGACTTCTGAGGGGTAAGGGAAAAGATGTCAAACATCAGATGAGTCCCTGTAGTCTTCATCTAGCACACTCACTTTTTTAAAAACATTTTTTTTTTTTTTAAGATTTTTTTTCTTTGGGTTTGTACAAGAAATTTACAGTGAAAATATACAAGTGAAAATGAGGCCATAAACCTGGGTGTTGGGAGGGGCCACTTGGTCACAAATACAAATAAACAAGACATTTCTGAGTTCTTCCTTTGGTCTGACTACAGCCCCCTCACCCCATGAGAGAGGCTGCAGAGCTGGAACCCAGGGCTCAGAACCCCAGGTCCAGCCCTGTCCCCTGACATGGACAGGGCAGGGGCAGGCACGTCTGGAGCAGCGGGTGCCACCTGGCTCTCTCTGGCTTTGGGGTGAGGACGAACGTGGAGAGGAGGGAATCCCTTCCTCTTTCCAGCTCCCCTGGCTGGGGTGAGCTGCTGAGTGTCTGGGGTGACTGGGGTTGGCAGAGTGGCACTGGTAGCAGTTAGGGAGTGAAACAGGTAGAGTGAGTAGGAGCCGCCAGGTGACAGTAAACATGGGGACCTTCAAGGGATCTGATCTTGCTCCTCCGAGCCGTGGGGGCATCCCGAGTGCCTGGCAGTGGCTGAGAGGCCTGGATCCCAGGAAGCGCGTGGCTCCGGGGTCCTCAGTGGACCCTGGGGCCTGAGTGGACAGGAGGCTGCTGTCCCCCTTCAGCAGAGCTCCCTGCAAAGCTGGATGCCAGGGGCCCTAGATTTCGGTGGCGGTGATCTCCTCCAGGCAGATACAGGGGGCTGGCTCGGCCAGGCCCAGGTCGGCGAGCTCCCGGGCCTCCAGCTCCAGGCTGAGCTGCTGCAGCTCCTGCTCCAGCTGCCGGTTGCGCCGGTACATCTGGATGTAGTTGTGCTGCAGTTGCTTCTGGTAGCGGATCACCTGCTCCTTCTCTGCCTGCCAGGCCTGCCGCTCTCCTTCGAAGCTGTCCCGCTGCGCCTCACCCCGCCGCCGCTCCTGCCGCAGCTCTGCCCGCAGCCGCTCTACCTGGGCCCGCAGGCTGCCTCCCACCCCAGCGGCTGCCCGCTGTGCCTTGGCCTCATCGCACTCTGCCAGGAGGAAGGGGTCAGTGGTGGCAGGTGGCACGGGGGGCTCCCGGAGTCCGGCCACCTCGGCATCCAGCTGCCCAGCTTTCTCCCGCAGCCGCTCTGCCTCTTGGCGATGCCGCTGTAGCTCCTGGGAACAGGCCTCCAGCTCCAGCTCCCGTGCCCGGGCTGCCTCCTGGAGGCCCCGGGCCCGGCCCTCGCTGACCCGCAGTGCAGCCCGGGTCTCCCGCAGCGCCACCCGCAGGGCTACGAGCTCACTGCCCTTCTGCACCAGCTCTGCCTGAGACTCCTTCAGCTGCTGCTTCAGCAGGGAGATCTCGCCCGACTTCTGGCACACCTGCGGGTGGGGCGAGGTGGGGGCAGGTGGTCAGAAAGGAGGTGAGCATGGTTCTCCCTGGAGGTCAGAGCCTGAGCATCATGTTTGGAATTTAGGGGGACGAGGTTCAATCATTATCCCCATTTTATAGCTGCAGACACTGAGGCAAGTGTGCAGACACGTCCAAAGTCATGTAGCTAGTAAATGGCTAACATGGAGGACAGACCCAATCTGTGTCCTTCAGTAAGAGAAAAAACCAAACTCACTGTCATCAAGTTGATTCCGACTCACAGCAACCTGCTTTGGGTGATAAAGCTTTACGGAAGTAGACTGCCCAGTCTTCCTTCGGAGAAGTGGCTGGTGGGTTTGAACCACCAACCTTCTTGTTAGCATTCAAATGCCTTAGGAACTACGCCACCAGAGTTCCTTGTGTCCTTCAATGCTGGTGTCTAAATCATCAAGAGACACTGCCTAGCCTCTGGGGGTGGCAGGTGTTGCAAGAGTGGTAGCAATCAAGGGCAGTGCCCACACTTCTGGTTGACAGGCAGTACAGTGTACTGGTTATGAGCACAGACATGGTAGCCAGACTGCCTGGGTTCAAATCAAGGCTCAGCCACTTACTAGGTGTGATTTTGGACTCCAGCCTTTCTGGGCCTCAGTTTCCTCATGTTAAAATGGGGTTTTTAATAGCACTCACCTCCTAGGGTTGTTAAGAGAATTAAATAAAATAGTCGCCAAAACATGCTTAGAATTGTGTCTGGCACTTAGCAAGCACTACATTCTTATTATTGGTTGGAAGGTGGCTGGGACAGGGATGTGAGTACTAGACCACACCCAAGAGGAGATCCCCACCCAGAAAGGGACAGCACGGAGTCCACACCACACAGAGGCGAGAAGAGGAGGCCTGCCGTGGTGGCAGGCTGACGGTGTGTGCAACCTTGCATGCCTGTGCCCGCCACTCCTCCTGGTCTGACCCACCTCCCACTTGGTCTCCTCCAGCCGTGGTCCGAGCTCCCGCTGCTCTCGCTCGAAGGTGGCGCAGCGGCGCTCCAGCTGCTCCCGCTCCTGAAGCAGCTGTGCAAAGTCATCCTGCAACTGCCGCTTTTCCTGCTGCAGCTGGAACACCTGCAGCTGCAGCAGCTGCTGGGCCCGCTGGGCCCGCTGGGCCGCCTGCTGGGCCTGGGCCGTACAGTCCTCTCGCAGGGCCTCACGCTCCCGTTGCCAGTGCCGCTGCCGCTCCCCATACACCTGTGGGTGAAAAGGCAGACCTGGGTCCTGGACGGCCCCCCGGACCTTGAGCCTCACCGACTGCTCTGCTGGGCGCCTGGCCTAGGTTCAGGGATGGTTGATCCCGTTAAATAGTAACAGCTAAGGCAGTAATAACAACTATTTTTCATAATAGTAATAGAAACAACAATACTGCTACTAACAGGCATTTATGTAGCACTTCTTGGGTGCCAGGCATTATTCTAATTTGTCTTATTTAGTCTTCGTGAAAATCCTATGAAGCCAGAAATATCCCCACTTCTTGAAGAGGAAACGGAAGCTCAGCAAGGTTAAATGACTCGATCAAGCCCAACAGACAGTGAAAGATGGTGCTGGATTGGAATCCAGGCAACCTGACTCCTCATCACTTTACAGGTGAAGCCAGACAGCTGGCGCGGGGGTGAGGTCACAACTGCCCAACACCCTCCACCCCAGCACCTTGCATTCCCAGCTGCTCTGATGCTCTGCCATGGCACCGCCCCTCCTGAGCACTGCTGGCCACACCTGGCACACAGTCGCCTGGCTGTCATCCAGACCGTCCCGCGGCTGCTGCAGCTCTGCTTCCTGATCGCGCAGCTTTCCTTCCAGGACACAGTGCAGCAGGGCCTCATCCGAAGGGGGTGGGGGTGGCGGGGGTGGCGGAGAGCGCTCCCCACAGGAACTGCTGTCAGGGGAGGCCCGGGGGCCGCTGCCCAGGAGCCCCACAGCCATGCGGCCCCCCAGGGAGCCCGTGCTCTTGCTGGAGGAGGACCGGCCACTGTCCGAGTGGGAGGGCCCGGTAGGGGCCCCTCGGGCTGGCCCAGGCAGCGCCCCCCGCCCGGGGCCGTGGGAGGGCAGGTGTCCACTGGGAGAGTTGGTGGCGGGCTCAGCACCCCCGGTGCTATAGGTGGGCAGGCTGGACAGGGAGTTTCGGCCAGAGTCAGACAGTGTCCCGGACGGGCAGCCACTGGCCCAGCCACTCAGAGCCAGGGGCTTCTCGGCAGCCGAGGAGGAGGAAGAGGAGGAGGAGGAGGAGGCAGGGCCCCCAAACAGCTGTGTCAGGCTCCCTTGGCTCCCAGACAGCCCGGAGGCCCCAGGACCCAGGAGGCTAGGTAGCGACGGTGCCCCTCGAGGTTTGGGTAGCACTGGCTTGAAGGCTGTTGGGCGGATCAGGATTTTCTCCATGTTCTGAAATGAGGTGGCTATGTGACACTGGGGATGGGCTGCCCCATCTTTCCAAGCCCTTATCACAGTCCCTGCCCTCCCACCTTGGGTCCCAATCCCCATACATGAATAGCAATTTCTACCACCAGCTGAGAACCTACCGAGCGTCAGCTTTATGTCAAGTGATTTTAAAAAGTGTTCATCTCTAAATCATTAGAACAGCCATCTGAGCAAAATATTATCACTATCCCAATATGACACATAAGGAAATGCGGGCTCAGAAAGGCTAAAGGCATTGTCCAAAGTCAAACACATAGTTGTAATAAAAATAATTTAAGCAGCTAACATTTATTGCGCACATGCCATGTGCCAAGCACTACACTGAGCACTTTACAGATATTATTTAATTCTCAGAACAATCTGATTTGGGCTGATCTATTATACCCAATTTACAGATCCCTGAAACTGAGGCTCAGAGAGGTTAAGTGACTCTCCTGAGGTCATACAGCTACAATGAGGCAGAGCTGGGGACTGGAGTCCATACTCCTTCCTCTCAACACTCCACATTCCAGCTTTCCCCAGGGATTCTTGACTCCACCCTGGCCCCACCGGAAGGGCTAGTCCTCACCTTCTCCAGCTTTCCAGAGACAGGGATGAGCTTTGGTGGGGGGCCGCGGAGGTGGGCATTGTGAGCCCGCTGCTCTCGGGCATCCTCAACATCACTGCTGGGGCTGGGGGGTGACTCTGTCCGGAAGTCCTCGTTGACG